ATTATCTCCACCTCCCTAATGAAATCATGTTACCTTTTCACCAGGAGCATTATGTAGAGTTTAGAAGGAAAAAGGATATTGTATTGACAGCAACTTCCTATACAGCCGATGATTCGATGAGAAAATTTTCACCAATATCTCGTGGATGCTACTTTGAAGGCGAAAAGATATTAAAGTTCTTCAAAACTTACACAAAAGCTCTTTGTCAATTCGAGTGTATGACCAACTATACATTGAAGAAATGCGGCTGTGTTAAGTTTTCGATGCCACGAGCATCTGGAACTACAGTTTGCACTGTAGATAAAGAAAATTGCTACTTTGAAGCTATGAGTGCTTGGCCTGATCACAGAGCATTCAATGATCGATTTGAGGCTACTTGTGGATGTCTGAAGACATGCAATAATATTAAGTATGATGTCAAGTTCGAGAAAATTTCAACAAGTGAAAATGTCATGGTGATATTTGATGTGCTGAAGTTGTCAAAAGAGTAAGTAAAAAGTGAGGCTTTAAACTACTTAAGAGTTTGTCTGTTGATCTTTTATGATTTTGATTTATTTCTAATTTGTAACTTCAGTGCCGCTATGTCACGGCTTAACTTTCAATTTGATGACTTTGAAATTCTAGAATATGAAGAGTATGCATCTTATAAGTGGCACAACTGTAAGGGTCTATCCGATTGATTTTCTTATTTATTGAATGAATAAAAAGTTAAATTTGTTGTTTTAGTTGTTGCTGATGTGGGCGGTCTGCTTGGATTTTTTCTTGGATGCTCGATACTCTCATTAATTGAGATTATTTACTTCTTTTTTGAAACATGTGCAGGGAGTTTAAGGAATCGCCTCAAAAGTCGTAAGATAACCGGAAGTCAAAGAAATAAAAATTTGCTGTGAGTAGACTTTTACTTATTAATATAGAGCTTTGCAGAATGTCCAAAGCGTCATTTTTTACTTTTTTGGAACTTTCAAGAATCCATCAAACACATATCGGAACTCTTATTGTACTCCTTTATATTTTTTCCTTGTGTAACTCCAGGAACTCTTATCCAGCTGAAGATTGCAAATTAGAATCCAGTGAGAAGTCATCAAATAATTTCTATAATCAAGCAAACATTTATCCATTAAGGAAGAACGATCAGCAACTATTGAGAATGCAAAGGAAATTTTACTACTAAATAATTTTAAACTAAAGTGAAGTTAATTGCTGTTTAAAGCAGCTCCTTACACCCACTTCACTTGGCAATAGTCTTCAAGCAACAAAAATAGAAATATAAGAAATTTATTATATCCAGGATGTAAACTCTGTTCATTTGATACCGATTTATGCTTGACATAATTTGATGCAAAAGGTTATAATACATTTTAAGCAGTGACAAGAGCATTAATCAAATATTGAAAAGTCGATGGCAATCCTTTGTAAATTCCAATAAATCTATTAATCACGACACTGGATGAACACTTTGCAGACGACAATTTTAATGAATACAATTGTGCTTTTAAATTTTTGTTATTAACCTTGCTGACATTAATCACGTGAAAAAGTTTTTGCCAGCTACTGTTTGGTTAAAAAATCTTCACTTAAAAATTAAACAAATGTTAATCATATTCTGCGCTTTAGTCTAATACTTAAATAGGTTATGAATCTCCATCTTCTGAATCATAAAATTTTGTTGTCACATTTCTCTATGAAATTTTGTTTTTTGGTAGCTATTGAAATGAAGGTTCTAGTCGTCAATTGCTACACCACTGTCTTATCAGTCTTAAATGCATTTGTTGAATACAAAGTCTTCGTTAACAAGTTTAAAATAAGTGTAATCGCATCCTTTTTGATAGAAAATAAAACATTTGTTTAATATGCATGGTTTGAACTTAACTTTCAATCAAAATGCAATAACTGTGTATGCTCTGGGCCTTAAGCGACTAAAAATGATTAAATCCATGTTCATTTCTTGCAAGCTGACTAAAATTAAACTGATCAGGTGCAAACATGCTTGCAAGTTGACTGCTGCTTGATTTAAATTGTTTTGAAGAAAAAAAAATGTTTGAAACCAAAATAACCATTGAGTTTTATTCTTAAAGATAATTCATTCATGAAAATATTAAAAAGTGTTTAAGTGATAAGTGACTTAAAATTTTTGGAGATCCTTAAAAAATAGCAACATTAAAGATAACAAAAAGAAATAAAAGAAGAATAACCATGCAATCAAACACACGTAAGTAATGACCAATGTTATTTGAAAGCAGAAATTTTAACTTTGAGTTTTCTGCTACTTTTCTATTTGAAAACGACTTCCATCGAAAATTGGGAACATTAGACACCTAGAAATCTCTGTCATATAAATTTTTATGAGTCATCCAGTCAAAGAATTCATTTTTTTTAACTTCCACGCTTGGTCAAAGTTGAATAACCTAGGAAAAAGGGTAATTTTTTAAAAATTCTTGCGGCTCCAGATTTTTTTTAAACTGGATATCATATTGAGTTCTATCTAATAGTCCTCTCCAAGAGCTTAACAAAAATACCCAATATGACTTTGTTTTGACTGCATCATGACATGCTATAGCCTCTTGAAATTCGAAAAAATTGACGTTTCATTATGGGGCAAAATTGAATAGGACATAAAAATAGACTTCTATGCCAAATTTCAAGTCATTTGATTTTTTCATGTCCTCTTTAAATCTTAAGTTTCGTATAATTATTAAAGATATTGAAAAACGGTTTTCAGTTCCTAATAGTAATATATGAGAGCTTCATTTTGATATTCCACAAAGATTTTAACTTTGTAATTTTCACTGATTATTTTGCAGTTCTGTTTTCGGTTTATCATAGCTTAAGTCAATATCTTTCTAATGATGTATAATACTTGATAGTTACATCCGATTTTAGTCATGAGTACAGGTCTTGTTTGTGAACGACCCCAAACTAGGAAAAATCTCAAAAATCTCATTTATAAAAATAGCACTTAGAAACAAATTTAAGTATTTATTTGTGGTTTTTTATGATGATTAATGATAGTTATGACTATTAAAACTCAAAAATTTGCATTTCACAAAGTTTTTGCTATCCCAGGTAGCTTCTAAGGTACGACCCTAGTAGACAATATTGAGTCTGAAAATCTCAAAGATTTGATTATTTTTCAGAGTTTTGTTGATTGATATTTCATAATGGAACATATTTGAGTCAAAATACATTACTTTTAAATAGTTTTGATGGGTGAATTCTTGGTTTTGGCTATTTTGTTAAAGTTCAGATTGCGTCGGTCACATTCAAACCACTCCCATGACAACTGTAACAAAGTTTTATGCAAGTAGTATACATCATTTTAAAGGTATTGATTTAATCTAGCAATAATCGAAAACAAATTGCAAGATATTAATTTTGAAAAAAGTTCTAGTCATTTGAGTAGATTGAAATGCATACAGAACCTCAACCGGCATAGGTATAAAATACAAAAGTTGAAATTTCAACTTAATTAACTCGAAAATTCTTATTTTTTTTTGCAATAAAGATACTGTGTTTAGAATTTTTAAATTCTTTTTTTTGTGATTTTCACATAAATTTACAGGTATCAAAATTACAAAGTTAAAATTTTTGTGGAATATCAAAATGAAGCATATATCTCATATATTACTATTAGGAACTGAAAACCATTTTTCAATATCTTTAATAATCATAAGAAACTTAAGATTTAAAGAGGACATGAAAAAATCAGAATTTTCACTCATTTTCAATTTAAACAGTCACAGAATCGCAGAAACAGCACCAAATGACTTGAAATTTGGCATAGAAGTCTATTTTTATGTCCTTTACAAGAAAAAATCCACCTGAGTTTGTAATTCGAAAAAGTCCCAAAATCAAAGTGAAAGTCCCTTTTTTTCAATTTTGCCCCAAAGTGCGTTTTTGGAACCTATTTCCCTATGGATCACATCTCAAAATTGTAACCATTTTAAAAGCTGCAGTTTTTTGTGTTAAATAGATCAAGTATCGAGAAATAATTATGCCAAGTTTCAGACAATTTTATGGATACGATAGTCCACAACGTCTAAAAGTCTACTTAGTAGCATGCAATTTTTGAAAATTTTTGATCATTTTTTACTCCGTTCTCGCTTGTTGTAAGCTCAAATCAATTAATTCCCAAACCATTTTGAGATATTGATGTCTTAAATACATATGCAGAGTTTCGTCTAAAACTGACCAAAGCATGAGGCACTAGGGCTGATTTTCGATAATTTTGAATAGCTACGGACGATGGATATCCAAAAAATTTTTTTGGTCCTAATGGTCTCAAATTCCCATAAAACAACTATTCCAGTCATTTTTTACCGAAATAAATACTTTGTCTCTCTTATTTTTAACTTCCAAAAGCGTGTATTAACTTCCACGCAAAAGCGTTCCGCTCAACAATGTTCCATTTCACTTCGTTCTGTACCGCACAGCTCGTCCACTCCCCTTTCTATAGCTTTGACTCCCATCAAAAGTATCCTTTCACAGACATTAAAAGCATCTGTAAACATGTTATAGATGTAATATTTTATTAGATTTCTCATCTTAAAATTTTTTCACGAAACACAAACTATGGGTCTTCGATTTGAGTAGACTCGATTTGAATAGATTCGATTTGAGTAATGAAAATTAATAAATAGAAAATTTAAATGTTTTTTTTGTAACGGACATTTATCATGCAAAAAGTAATTAATTCGATTTTAGTAAATTCGATTTGAATAGGATTTTTCTGGAACCAAACGCCTACAATATTAACTTATAGTACTTATAGTACTTATAGTACTACTAAATTTGGCAACTTTTTTTGTTATCTAACGCAAGTCAAGCGTGGAAGTTCATGGCTTTCTATGTTAGTCGTGTTTTTCATTTCAGTTGCACTTTATTGCACTCATTGATGACATACTGTCCTCCAAAACCCACACAAAAGTCTAGATTCATCATATTTGATATACACGTGTAAATTTATTGTTTTAATAAATGATTTTTGTTTTTAAAACCTTTAGATATTTACAACATTCGCGGACCACGCCAATATGAATACTTAAAGATGATTCGAAAAAATTATCTTAATTATTTTAATGAAGACGGTACTGTCAAGAATGAAATGAAAGAAAACTTAATCTGTGAGATCCATGCAAAAATTGGACGTGCTTGGAACGTTGGTAAATGTAAAATAAGGCGATGCTTTGTCGACAATAAATGTTTGATTCCTGACATTGCTTACGAGAAACGGAAGGGAAATGGTGAGGAGATCATTGTAACGTTGCCAATTATATTTTAAATTTATTTTTTAATGTTGCCATTCTTATCAAATCGACAAACTGCAGATGGAAATGATAACGACGAAGAGAGTGAAGATGAACAACCACTCGACGGTAAATAACGAGATATTTTTGGTAGCTGTTTTCGGTTTTTTAATTGTGACTATCTGTGTCAGAAAGTAAACAATAATATGTTTTACTCTTTTGTTTTATTGTGTCACAAAACCAAAGACCTCCGTTCTCAAACCCACCAAAAATCTGAACATTATTTAATAAACGATTTTTTCAAATTATTTTATAGGCATCTACAAAGGAATAGGTATCAGGCAATTGGAGTACTTGCGAATTGTAAAGAAAAATTATCTTGATGATTTTCGCGAAGATGGACAGTTGAAGGATGGACTCAAAATAGAGATGATCAATAAGTTGAGATCATGTGTCGGAGATACTTGGAACGTTAATAAATCCAAAATATGGTCTCGTTTCGTGAACAACAACGTTTTGTGGCCAATAATAGCGCATGAAAAAAGAAAAGCAATTGGTGAGTAAATTAATATTGAGATTTTGATAACATTTTTAATTTTTTTTAATCTTTGATATCAGCGCGAGAAATTATAGAACAAGCTATTGTTGAAGTTCCTGTTCATAGTTCCTGTTTATTATCCGATGAGCAAATTGCTGAACAAATGGCTATTATTAACCCAGTTAATCAAACGAGTTCCGAATTCAACACTTCGACTTATACATTCGCGGTACCTCCTGATAACAATGTGATTTATCAAATCATGCTCCCTTCCTTATCAGGCCAAGAAATTGGAGATCAAGCAATGGTTGAAGCTTCAAGCAATCATATCATTCAATCACCTGTTGCAATTTCGACTGATACCATCACATCTTTCTTATCAGGCGGCAATATGCAAATTGGCAATGATGATATAGAACTACCCATGGAGCAGTGCGATGGTAAATGAAAAAATTGTTTCTGATAGTTTATTAAAAGTTTTTTTTGGAATGTGTGGAAGCAAATATTTAAATTCGATATAATTTTCTGTTATCTTAGAATTTCCTGCATTTTAATTTTTTGATGTTTGTTTCCACTTAAAATATTGGTTCTTTGCAAGCAAGCGTTAGTTCAATTTTTCCTTTCCTAACCAAATCATAACTATTGTCTACAATTTCCTAAAATTGCTTATCTAAGGTTTTTTTTTGTATCGTTTTATAGATATTTATTGCGGTCCTAGCATTATTGATTATTTAGTGATAATCAAAGGAACATTTTTGATAATGTTTAATGATAATGGAACAGTTAAAGATGATATGAAGGACGATCTTTTGGATAATTTGATGGAATTAGTGGGCCGACGTTGGCAAATTTCAAGAAGTGAGTTGTTGGCTCATTACGTCGAGAACAAAAAATTGAACCACATTATTGCAAATGAGAAGGCAAATGGTGAGTATCATTAAGAAATTGACGAATTTATCATAATTTTACATTTTTTTGTCAGCCTGGCGAATCGGCAATATTTATGATTCTTTGAGCTTGAATGGAAAGTCAGAAGGTCCTGATGAAAACATGGAAGTTATTGAAAGTTCAATTTTGGATGATCGTTTGTCAATTCCAATAAATGTTCAAACTTCAAATCGCCAAAAAATTCGATCCAACATCAACCTCAATATCAGCGATTCAATAGACTTTGGCGAGTCATTTGAATTTGATTTTAAAGATAGTCAAGATTCAAATCTATCAAGTTATGATGGCCCTCGTGTTCGATTTGTAAATGATGAAGTCTTGAACGATACGATTATTGATGGATGGTCAGATGTATCCATGGAAGAAAATGATGTAGAGAAACGTCATTAAGCTTAGTCCTCTTAGTGTTATGGCTGACACAACCGTAGATGATAGCATAAATGATGTTGCAACGGCATGTTAAGCCTTAAATTTTTATTTTTATATTTCCGGCAAGTTAAGCCTTTATTGTTATAATTTTTCTGGCAAGTTAAGCCTTTATTCATTTTCTTACTAATTTTTTATTAATATTTTGTAAATAATTCCTTATCATCATTATAATCGTTAATTAATTTTAGTGAACAGTTGGTTGGATAATATCCACTGTTTACTTTTAATCAAGTTTCTCTGCCACAATTGTCGTGAAATTTTAAATTAACATTTATCTTCTACCATCTTCTAAAAACAAATAAAGTTCTGTGTAGAATTGAACAGAGTTTTTTTCGAGCAGTTATGTGTCGTGTATTAAGTATTCTCATATGTTAGCCGTCGCCTAATTACCGAGAAAACATTGATTACCAAAAAAATGGAGAATTTAGTGGAAGTATGATGCCTGAAAATGGTATAAAGTAATATCACACACTATGTTATTCATACAAATAAATCCTTCATTGCTGACAAGGGTAGGTATGAGACGCTCTTTACCAAAATCCTGCGGTTGCTATTTTTAAAGGTTAAAAGATGCTTAAAATTTTTCAAACCTTCACAAAAGCTCTCTATATGATGAATAATACTTAAAAGCATGTGGTTATGTTGAGATTTTCATATTTTACACCTTAGAACCCATAGTATGCAGCGATGAAGCAGCTAAGTGCTGTTTGGAGCCAAAAGTCTGTGGCTCTAATTATGAAATAGTATTAGATAAATTTAAAGCGATATGCAGCATGTTCAAGTCTCTGTAATTTGACATTTGTCATTTTAATGTGATAATTTAACATGAACAAAGTTCAATAATTATTTTTCAAAGGCGTTCTTTTTCAGCAACAGGAGCAAAGCCATAAAACGATTTCAACTAAGTCCAAACATTTTTTTAGGTTCCTTTACCGAAAGTATCGTTTTTTCGTTAATCTTAACGGGACCCGAATTATTATTAGTTTGCACTCCATTGTTTGCAAAAAATCGTCTTGCTTCTTTTTACAATGTATCGAAATATTTTAGACTAGGAATAACAGAATTGAATTTGACTATACAGGAACTAAACTATTTTGCATCAAACATTCACACTTGTGCACCAGAAAATGCTGGGCTTGTCACAAAAACTGTTGAAAATCGTACTAGAAATGACATTGTGAAACTTCTTGATGAGAGTTTTTTGATGACTCGCGATGCTCTTGTAAATTGTAGATATAAGAAGATTAACAATAATTGCAGCATTAAATTCAATCGAGTAATTACTGACAGAGGATTTTGCTACTCTTATAATTTACAAGAATTCAGTACAATTTTTAATGAAAATATTATTAGCGAGGATTTTTATTCTTACAAAAAGATCAAAGTTTCAAATTCAAGTTCCAATCAAACAGATGAAAATGTAAATAACACAATCCAATGGGCTTTAGACAAAGGATATTTTGACATCAACAATTCTGATTTTACACCTGAAAGAATTTTTAAAGGATCTTCATTTAGCTTTAACATTTTCATGAATGATTCTGATTACTTGAATATATGTCCAGCAATGGGAAAAATGTTCAGCTATTTTATACATCTACCTAATGAACCTATGCTGCCTTTTCACAAAGAAAACTGTATTGATGTTAGAAGAAGAAAAGAAGTGATTTTGACTGCTAAATCTTTTACAGCAGACGAAGGAATAAGAAAATTTACACCAAAATCTCGTGGATGCTATTTTGAAGATGAAAAGCCATTAAAGTTTTTCAAAACGTACACAAAGTTTCTTTGTGAATTCGAGTGCATGACCAACTATACATTAAAAAAGTGCGGTTGTGTCAAGTTTTCAATGCCACGAACAACTGGAACTACAGTTTGCACTGTAGATAAAGCAAATTGTTATTTTGATGCAATGGGTGCTTGGCCTGATCACAGATCATTTAGTGATCGATTTGAAGCCACTTGTGGATGCTTGAAGACTTGCAATAATATTGTTTATGAAACAAAATTTGAGAAGTCATCAGCTGCTGAACATACAATAACAGTTTATAAAATGCTCAACTTATCAATGAAGTAAGTTTATATTCCTCTTAAATAGCACGTTTAATCGAATAGAAATCTGGCACCAAGCCTGCGTGACTCTGGCATGGAGCTAGACTCAAATCGAATCTACCACCATGGTAGAGTTAAGTTAGCTTGGTGCCGGATTTCTACTCGATCTATTCTAACTCCAATCAATAGTGCGCCAATATCCCAATTGAGTTTAGTGTTTGATGACTTTGAAATCGTTGAATATGAAGAGTATGCATCTTATAAATTGCATAACTGTAAGCTTCGTCAAATTTTTCGATTTAACAAACAAAAATAATTTTTTTTAAAATTATTTTAAGTTGTTGCTGATGTCGGTGGTCTTCTTGGATTTTTTCTTGGATGTTCAATACTTTCAATAATTGAAATAGTTTATTTTCATCTGATGGAAATTATGATTCAATCCTTAAAAAACTGTTTGAAAAAGTAAGCGTAAAAAGTAAGCCATATTAAAATGCTCTTTTTAGGCGATCAGCTAGGACTGACATCAACAATTTCGGAAACACTAAATTTGCAAAGAAAATTATTATTCAACCTGCTGTTAAACCAATTCAATCATTTGGAAAAAGAAAGAGCAACAAAATCATTAGAAAGTTTTAATTGAAAAAGCTATAAACAAGTCTAAGAACCAGCTCACATATATATTTAAGATTTTAATTTAAATAAGATTTAATGTGTTTTTAAGCTGATTTTGCTTTATTCTTGCTTTATTCAGAAACTATAAATGTTTACCTAATACGTCCAATTATTATGCAAGAACTTTGTGGTAGTATTGAATAATTAGATTATTATTTATTTTTGTCAAGAAATGAAATTAATGATATTGAATAAGTGACTATTCATAAATTATTGTTTAAGTTCAATCGAGGAGAAACCTCCATAGAAAGAATTTTCTTCTGTTCAGTGTTCGAGGAGTCTAAATCGATAGACGTCAGTTATGTATGACTCTAAAATAAATATTGCATGAAAATAAAATAAATAAAGTTCTGGATACAAACTCAAGTTACAGCAACGTTAATGAGTATATTTATGCTACGAAATTAAATATTAATAAGTCATAACTTGATCAAAAAATCATATCATATGAATTTTAGTCCTGACATAAAACAGCTTGCTTTTCCGCATTGAAATTTATTCTTACGGAAGTAATTAGTCACAAAGCAATGACAGGAAGTATTAAATTTGTTGATAATCTTTCTATTCATGGTGTTTGTCATATTTTCAATGGAGGCAAGTTCAAGAAAGTATTTTGGATTGTTGCAATTTTCGGATCCTTAACATTATTGTGTTTCTACAATTATCAGCTTTTTCTTAAGCTTAGTCAAATACCTGACATCAGTGTGAGAATTGGACAAAAATTCATAACTGAAATTCCATTTCCAGCAATCACGATTTGTACTCCTGTATTTGCAAAAAACAGCTTGGTTTCTTTTTTTAATGTGACTAAAAGTTTAAGATTGGAATTGAAGTACAATTTGAACTTAACTGTACAGGAACAAAATTACTTAGCATCAAATATTCATACATGCACTCCTGAATTTGCTGGTCTGGTTCAAAGAATTGTCCGGAATCGAACAAGGAACGACATCGTGAAACTCCTTGATGAGAGTTTTTTGCCACTAAGTGAAGCTTTACTGAACTGTGGATCAAAATCTTTTATGAATGATTGTACAAATATCTTCTATCGAGTTTTAACTGACCGAGGATATTGCTATTCTTATAACTTGCAAGGATTTGAGACAATTTTTAATGAAAAAGTTATAAGTGATGATTTCAGTTCCTATAAAAGATTTACAATCACAAAGCATACAAATGACAGTCAAACTATAGAATTTGATAAAAATTAAATAAAGATTTGGACTTTGGATAAAGGATATACTTCCAATTCAAATCAAATAGTTCTGATTCCTGAAAAAATTGTTAAAGGACAAATTTTCGGTGCCAATGCATATTTAAATGAAAATGACTCTACTAATTTGTGTACACCAAGAGGAAACAGTTTCAGCTATTATCTCCACCTACCTAATGAAATCATGTTACCTTTTCACCAGGAGCATTATGTAGAGTTTAGAAGGAAAAAGGATATTGTATTGACAGCAACTTCCTATACAGCCGATGATTCGATGAGAAAATTTTCACCAATATCTCGTGGATGCTACTTTGAAGGCGAAAAGATATTAAAGTTCTTCAAAACTTACACAAAAGCTCTTTGTGAATTCGAGTGCATGACCAACTATACATTGAAGAAATGCGGCTGTGTTAAGTTTTCGATGCCACGAGCATCTGGAACTACAGTTTGCACTGTAGATAAAGAAAATTGCTACTTTGATGCTATGAGTGCTTGGCCTGATCACAGAGCATTCAATGATCGATTTGAGGCTACTTGTGGATGTCTGAAGACATGCAATAATATTAAGTATGATGTCAAGTTCGAGAAAATTTCAACAAGTGAAAATGTCATGGTGATATTTGATGTGCTGAAGTTGTCAAAAGAGTAAGTAAAAAGTGAGGCTTTAAACTACTTAAGAGTTTGTCTGTTGATCTTTTATGATTTTGATTTATTTCTAATTTGTAACTTCAGTGCCGCTATGTCACGACTTAACTTTCAATTTGATGACTTTGAAATTCTAGAATATGAAGAGTATGCATCTTATAAGTGGCACAACTGTAAGGGTCTATCCGATTGATTTTCTTATTTATTGAATGAATAAAAAGTTAAATTTGTTGTTTTAGTTGTTGCTGATGTGGGCGGTCTGCTTGGATTTTTTCTTGGATGCTCGATACTCTCATTAATTGAGATTATTTACTTCTTTTTTGAAACATGTGCAGGGAGTTTAAGGAATCGCCTCAAAAGTCGTAAGATAACCGGAAGTCAAAGAAATAAAAATTTGCTGTGAGTAGACTTTTACTTATTAATATAGAGCTTTGCAGAATGTCCAAAGAGTCATTTTTTACTTTTTTGGAACTTTCAAGAATCCATCAAACACATATCGGAACTCTTATTGTACTCCTTTATATTTCTTCAATATATAACTCCAGGAACTCTTATCCAGCTGAAGATTGTAAATTAGAATTCATTGAGAAGTCATCAAATAATTTCTATAATCAAGCAAACATTTATCCATTAAGGAAGAACGATCAGCAACTATTGAGAATGCAAAGGAAATTTTACTACTAAATAATTTTAAACTA